TCAGGTTCTTTGCAGATTCGGCGGATCGTTTGAAAGAAAACTTGAAATTTTCAGTATTTTTTCCGGGAGAGCCTGGAGAACGAAAAATACGGAGTAAAATCGGATCTAGAATTGTGGCTCTACGAAGAATGTTAATCCGACGTCGTATCAGTGTGGTTGCTCATGGGCCTCTTCGGTTTGCTGTTGAAACTTGAAAATGGAATCCGAGTTGCCTTTTTGGGCTTCATTAATAATGGACTCATCTTACTTTGGGCTTTTTATAACGAAAAAATTTACAACAATACTCCGAAAAATTCTTGATATTACAAGAAAACTCGAAAAAATTAATTAGTTACACTAATATTCCTAAAATTGCTCTTTTTTACAAAAACACACCCCTCATCATCTTACTTGCACAATAAAATTATATAATATCTAAATAGATTTTTAATTTAAAGTGGTGACTTGAAAGAAAATCACTTTTTTTAGTTTTCATAAAAAAAAATAAATTACATATTACTACTCCAACTCATATATCAATCACGTCTCTCCCACTTAGGACATGCTATTTTCGGTTGGAATTCTAAAGTTGAATGTTGTAAGAAAATGTAAGAATTGGAAAAAGTCAAAAGAACTTAAAAAAAGTTCAAAGTTAACTTTTCTAACCTAAAAGAACAAACACTCATCCTCTTGATTTTTTTATTAACTTTGGTATATAAATTCTTGAGTCGAACAAAATAATATATTGAGTTGAACAAAGTAATATATTGAATATAATTTTTTAATGTGATTCAACCCAAGTGTCATATGGCCCACTCTAGCGATCACTACCACATCCTAAATTTTTTCATTGTATCAGAGCTAGTTTTAATCCACCTCATTTATTAAGGTGTCCGTCTAGACGTTTATTTCTAGTGCCCACACTCTTTAACCTAATTGTCTATGTGGAATGTATATTCAAAAGCCTATATCTTGTTTAATCTAATTCCTCGTCTTGAAGTCTATATCCAGCGGCTCATGATCCTTTAAGTGTTGGCGCTGAAAAAAATCAAAAGGATGGAGTTCATTTACAAGCAGTCAACGAGTTAGATTCAAAATGGCTCGGTGTTTCGCGTGAGAGGAAGTGTTAAAGTGTATCTCACATCGAATTTAGAAAGAAAATAAATTAATATATAAGCTCTTAAGTTGAACAAAGTAGTAATATATTGAATTCAATATATTAATGTGATTCAACCCAAGTATCTTATAACTCAATTCCTACCATATCCTATATTCTATCAAAATTGAATGTTCTATATATGGTGTTGATATGTACATGCTACTTATGCAGAATTTTATTAGGGTGACATTGTTTTGATTGGTTAGATTAATGTCATTGATATTAAATTCATTTGTATTAAAAAAATTAATAATAAAAAACAATAATTTAATAGATAAAATAATAAATTAATTAAATATACTTCGTATAAGTTTAGATGTTGAAGCGTCTCATACTCTCTCATTCTTTTGATATTCTTCAAGTTTTGTTTAGGTTTTCGTATTTCTTTGATTATTTTTTAATGAATATATTGATAACTTAATGTATATTCCCTCCGTCCGGAAATATTCTTTCCATTTGACTTTTCACGGTGTCCAATGTTGCACTTTGACCATTAATATCTATATTTATACATAAATATATTTTATAAAAATTTGATATTTCAAATCTACATTTTGTTAAGAATATATTGATATTAAATTTATATCATAATACGATGTACTTTTTCCACAAATCGGAGTCAAAGTGTACAAATTTTGACCAAGAAAAGTCAAATGTGAAGAATATTTCCGGACGGAGAGAGTAATTTTTATTCTGATTCGTATTGGATTCATATCCAAGAAAAATTATTTCTTTGTATATTAAAAAAAAAAAGTGCAATAGAATTATTTTTGCACCAAAGTAAACAAAATTTCTTGAAATATAATTCCTTCACATTCCATTGCTTGATTTTAAAGCATCATTAATTATTAACAACAAAGGGGTACCGCCCTCCCTCCCCATGCCTTCCCTCACAATCATAATAAATTAGCCACACCACATTAACCACTTCACAAGTCTCCCATGTGTAAGCAAAACCCCAATCTTTTCACACTACATACCCTTTTGGTCTTTACCGCCATTAATTACATCCAAGCTCTCAACCTTCTTCAAACTCCATCAATATAATCTCCCATGTTTAAATGACAAAAACAAGCTGGAAAAAAAAATATTCATTCCATTATTGTCCCTAAAGCTAGCTAGTGCATGCAAATATTATATTTCTTTGATCCATGCATGTTGAGGTTATTAATTTCTACCCATTATTACTATGTCCTTAAAGGTTGTGTTCTTCATCTTTCGGCTCTCTCTTCTCCTCCTCTTCTTCCATGAAATCTATAGTGATCTCAAGCTCATCAAAACCAACAACAACAACAATAGTATTATCGGGATCACATTATCTTCCTCCGCTCTTCCTCCTCGTCCTCATCATGATCACCACTCAAGTCGCGACCATAGGAAAATGTTATCAGGTCAGTTTGACTTTACCCCATTTGTAAACCACCGTCACGAGAGGCAGTATTATTCGTCAGCTGATCATGGAAACAAGATGGACCCACGCTACGGTGTTCAGAAACGCCTCATCCCCAGCGGTCCAAATGCCTTGCACAATTAGAGGGCGCCACGCAAGAACATCAAGCTAATTGGTGACCAAGATTTGATCGAAGAAGATGGTCTACATGTGATGTAAATGGTTAGTGGGAGCTAATGAGCTAATTAAGATTCATCATCATCATCAATATATATCATACTAGCAATAGCAAATATAATGCTTCGTTAATAGTTTCATTTTCTCTTGCTTTTTATGCTTTGTGAATTCGTGATTATAAGATACGCTAAGTGTTATATCGTTTAATTTCAGTGTATATTCTTGAAGAAAAAAATTGGTATGTCCTTTAATTAGATCATTGAGTGATCTAATCATCTAAGTTCTATAATCAATGAAAACATTATTAGTTGTATATATTTACACCCCGTGTAATTATATTAGTTGTATATATTTACACCCCGTGTAATTAATACTACGATTATGAAAAATGAAATAGGGAGTACTATAATTCTAAAATGGTGGATTACTACTCAAGTTGCGATCCTTTCGTTTGGAAATATCGTTTTTAATTTATATTATTTTTTAATGGTGCAAATTAATTTTGAAAACAATATAATTAAATATATATTGTCATTTGATAGCATCAAAACACTAATCCTAAACGCGAAAGTTGTTACCAATTTGGCACCGAGATAATTATTTCTAATGGTGCAAATTACGATGTCATTTTGAGTGGATGTGATTAAATCCAATTCATTTTTACTCTTAATAAAAGCTCTCTAAACTCGAAACTATTTGTTGGAAAAAAAAAACATTTATGGTCAAAATTAAACTTGAAGAAAAAAAAGTTACTCCCTATATAATTTTGGAGTCAGTCTATATAATTCATCCGGTGGCTATCATTATTTCTTGAGTTTATTTTGGATGATAAGGATAGTATTTGTTTGAGGAGGGGTTTGAGCATGTTTTGGCATCAAATTAAATGAGCAAATTAGCTGGAGGGACTATATACAGGCCTATAAATGGGGGGTTGATGTCAAAACCATATATGTATGTAAAAATGTTACTTTGTTAATTGCCCTTGAAAAGATATAGGAAATGGAAAATGACCCAATTCTTTCCTACCCCCCTTCAACCTTAGTGCCTATTTGGGAGGAATGATGAAAGGCAAGCTAAGGGAAGTTAAGGGTGAATACGAGAGGTGATTAACTCCTTTGGTTTTGTTTTGAAACAAAAGAGGCATCAAATAAAGGATGTGAAGGAACTGAATCGGATACAATAATAACAATAACCCAGTTGAATTTCATGTACCAGCGGGGAATTGAATTGAATATTTTCACCATTATTATTCGTATTCTGATATTTTGAGAGATATTCGTATCTATATTTGGTTTGAATTTTTTAAAGATTCTTATTCAATACAATTAAGAATTCATAAAAGCTCGGTTCATTTGAAAGTATTCCAATTCAAAATATTTGTTTTGAATGTTTTTTTATATATAAAATGTGATAAATATGTGTCCTAGTTTAGAGGAGTAATATAAGATTTGAGCAATACAATTAAGGGAATTGCAACCATTATATTTTAGAGGCAATGATAAACAAAGTAGACTGAGTTTTGCCCGATCCATCTCTAGTACCGGCCATTACCAACGTTGTTATTCCTTGGACAATCCACAAACAGATGATGATTGAGAGAATAACCAATCATGATTTGAGGGATTGTAGGACCACGAGTTGGTCTATGAACCACTATTTTGGGTATCGTCGCCATCCAATGAATGTAAATATGTCGGCGCATGGAGGAGTCTTTGAAAGATTGTGAGTTGGGTAGTCAATCTCGGTGTATAACAAACTGCCAAACTAAGATCGTACCGCGCGGAAGTTAGGCAAGATCGGCTAGTGACCGATACACCTAGAAGAGTCGGGTGGTCCTCACAAGTGCATCCTTTGAGCCAAGCGTATGGAACCAGAATGCAGCACAGAGCCATTCTCTTGGAAGAGACTCTAAAAGACATTAGGTCCCACAATCGAGTCTGAATATTTCTTATCTTTATCTCATTTGATTTTAATAAAATACTCTATGAGTAATACGGAGTATTTCCTACAAAATAGGTAATTCCAATAAATTGAAAAAAAATCTAAAAATATTAAGTTAAATTTGTACAAAATAGTATTAAAATATATGTAATTTTCCAATGTAGTACTTAAACTTTTTTATTCCATAAATAGTATTTGAATAATGTCTAATGATGAGAACAATATTCAGTGATGTTGGATATTTTTGGAACAATGTCTAGTGGGGTCTGCGGTGGCCATTTACTTGAACAATGACCACTGGACATTGAACAGTGGTAATACGGTAAATAGAAACATATAGTACTACATTAGACTAGTCACTATGTCTTAATATTATTTAGATGTTTTAGTATTATTTTGATAAATTTTCCAAATATTAAATTGAAAAAAAAGTGTCCCCATTTAAAAGTTTAATCAAGAATATTAAGAATAATAGTCAAATTGTATCAAAGACCAATTATCGATCATGGTGGAATTTTAATCCAAGACAGGGATCCCATTTCCAGACTCCGAAACCAGATCAATGGCTTCCTCTACTGTTTCTTCATTTCCCCAGCTTCCACAGACACCATGTCTACTCTCATCTTCCTTAATCCCAAAATTCAACGTTCTCCCTCCATTACTGACCCAACCAAGGCGGCGGTTGAGGAGGGAAGGCGCTCTAGCTCTGGCCATGGCAGCTCCCGCCAGTCCTGCCAATACTAACAGTACAACTGATAAGCCCCCGAGAGTGGTCACCTTCGTTGGGAAAGGCGGTTCTGGTAAAACCACTTCTGCTGTTTTCGCTGCTCAGGTATCTATTTTGCGCCCTAGATTCTCGATTCGACCTTGAATTTCAGATTCCTTCATGATAGCTGTTTGTTGCTTTCTCTGCAAAGATGAATGGCGATAAAGTTCGTATCTTTTGTAAATTCCTGAACAAAATGTTGAGCTCGTTCTGCTCGTTTGTGGATTTATGGAGTATAAAACATGTTTTGAGGCCAGTTTTGTATATGTGATCTATATCAGGTTTATAAATATATATGAATGGTTTAAAAAATAAAAATTGGAAGCATCTCCCAGAAGACAATGGGACCGTCAAATTTGGTTGACAACAATTTTTAAAAACAAGAACATTGTAATCAAACACATTTTATCATTTCTGTTCTTGAAAAAGTGAAAATGGAAATAGAAAACAAAAACATTTCTAAATGACACTCCCGAGTTCAGACAATCAGCATGATTTCCTTTTGATGATATGTGTCTTACCGCAATTACTTATCTGGTATTCAGCATTATGCTATGGCAGGACTGAAGACCTTCTTGGTTATAAATTCCCAAGACCCCACAGCTGAATACCTTCTGAATTGTAAGATTGGCTCATCTCCTCTTCAATGCAATGACAACCTTTCAGTTGTGAGATTGGAAACTACAAAAGTGCGTTCTTTATCCAATACTCCACTTTACCTTTTTACTCAGTAGTACTCCGTATAATCTTCTTTTTCACTAAGAAAACGATCACCCAAAATTTCAGATGCTTCTTAAACCTCTCAATAGACTAAAGGAAGCAGATGCCCGTCTTAACATGACACAAGGAGTTCTTGAAGAGGTTGGTACGTATGTAACATTTATTTCTTCATCCAATTCTTATTGTTAAGAGTCCCACAATGAAATATTCTAGAGACACATGTTTATAAGGCATCGGGTTAGACTATGTAATAAATTGGATTCAATTTCAGTGTGATTTGACTAATGTGTATTACTATTTCACTTATCGTCTTAGAAAGTAATCGCTTCTTGTCTTTGATCTCTTTCTTTATAAATGTAGTAGGTGATGGGACAGGAACTTGGCGTGCTACCTGGGATGGATTCCATATTTTCAGTTTTGGAACTTGAGAGGCTAGTAGGGTTCTTTGGAAATGTCAATCAAAAAGAGAAGCTTGACATTATAATTTATGATGGTGTGAGCACTGAAGAAACCATTCGAATTATAGGTGCAACTAGCAAGGCAAGGTCAGAACTTCTTATTCCTTATTAACAATGCATCACTTTAAAACAGCAATCAGTTCAAGAGCCTATTTGGTAAAGGCAAGGTGAAATTGTGGCTTATATGAGTTGTCTAGAAAAATATTAAATATTCGTACGGAGTAAATGCGAGTAATAAATTTTTAAAAAAAAGTTCAAAAAATTAGCATCCTTTGCCGACGGAGCTAAAGACAATGTCTTAAGTTTGGTTATATAATGGAATTAATAAAACGGTAAATCAAACTTTTCTGCCTTCTTACTTTCTAAGACATTTTGGGCAGTAAATGCATCCATCATTGGGAGTCTAAGGGAAATAGCATCTCTGCTTTGTTTTTGTGTAATATCCAAAATTTCAACAATAGGTCCTCTCATCTGAACCAAAAATGTAACTTTTGCACGAATTCTTATTACAGTATAATTATCAACTGATTCATGAAGCACTATCAGATAAGTTAATGTTTTGTCGAAAACCTTCTGATAAGCACAAAGTGTTCTGCTATAAAGCACAGACTCTACTTGAAATATCTGCGCAAGTTAGCAGAAAAGACAGATTTTGGAAGGTTGGCGGGGCCATCGCTCTTGAGACTTGTGGATGAAGCTATGAATTTAAGTGGCAGAAATTCTAATCTGAATGGGAAAATGAGTTCAGAGATATGGAACCATCTGGAACAAACATTGGAGGTAATTTGTTTCCTATTTGTGTTCATAGATCTGTGATATTTTTCGGGTTCCATAGTCTAAACAGTATTTTTCGTGAGAGTAACATATAAACTTCCAAACAAGGTTTCTCCACTTACTCTTTTTTACTCTTCTGTTTATTGACTCTTATTTTTCAAACTTATTCTCTATTTAGACGGAGCCGTAACGGTGTTGACACTCTAACCAATTGTTTTATGATGCAGAGAGCATCTTCCATTTTTGCAGAACCCGATCAGTTTGGCTGTTATGTAGTGGTGGACCCAAAATGTCCTGTTTCATTGGCTTCCGGATTACGCTATTGGGGTTGTGTTATCCAAGCTGGGGCCCATGTCTCGGGCGCATTAACGTTTGCCTCATCAAATGAATTAAGGGAAAAAGTTCGCAAGAGCTTCTCACCTTTGCCTTACACTTCCATTCCACATCTTTCACCTGGGTCCCGCATAGAATGGGATCATATAATGTGGCACACTGGTAGTGCGGATGCACGGAAGTTCCTGAGCACGAGGAACAGCACAAAGATTGATCATACTAAGTTTGATTTGGCCAATAAAACCGTAACGCTTCTCATGCCCGGGTTTGACAAATCAGAAATCAACCTATACCAAGTATGGCATACATTTGAAGATTATATATTGATTTCTTTTTCCCATTATCATCATCATCCTGAAGAAGAAAACATCAAAGCTAAGATTGTGAGCCTTTTTGCTTGACTTCATTTTCAGCTTTTCAGCCAGTTTTTTTAACCACATGGCAAGTTATTTACTCATATTTCATTGTGCTGGCTGAATTGATTGGAAATGGAAAAAGTTATGTTTTCCTGCATAAATAAATGGCCAAAACAGATAGTTCCGCCCTAATTTTTGATTTTTTTATCTAATTTATTTAATCATACATTTTTGAACAGCCCTATATGATGATATTAATCTTGTAATTTATTGTCAATGTAGTTTAGAGGAGGATCTGAGTTGCTGGTGGAGGCAGGCGATCAAAGGCGTGCCATTTTTCTGCCATCTAAGCTTCAAGGCAAGGTTGGAGCTGCCAAGTTTACTGAAAGAAGTCTTGTTATAACCATGGATTCATGAAGATGATAAAGGACATTATGCTCACTTCTTTTTTTCTTTGATTTTTTGTCCTTTTTTTAGAGTGAGAATTCAAGTGCCATCCATGTCCACACAATCCATCAAGTGAGACTGAAAGTGTTTTTTGTATTGAAAAATTCATAACCGTTTGTACTTGAGTCAAAATTTGATTTTGGTTTAAAAGCTCAAGCTTATGCACGAAAATGTACAATACGTTTGTGTGTATTTCGTCTTGGAAATAAAGGATAAATCTCATCCCTATACCTCTCCAGGATTGGACGGACAATTATCTAAAAAGAGATCAATTGATTTATAATATTAGCCTTACAAATAAGGAATGATATATGTCTCTCGTACGCTTGGTGGCTTCTATGCTATGCATAGTCCATCTTCATTGTCATTGTCTTGAGTTGAATTCGTGTATTGTCGTCTTTTACACATTTTCATTGTCATCTAAGTTATGCACACCTTTTCTTTAAAGCAAATAGAGTATAAAGTACAACATGATGAGTTTTGTTTCCTATACTTGGAGTAACAAAATTATGAAATTATACTGTACAAATTCCTTTGGGGGCTAAAAATGTGAAAACAAAAGTTCAATCTTCTTGCTTAGCGTCTCCGGTTTGTGCGTGCACGCGACTCCTAAGCTCTTCAAACGCCTTCATGCTCTCGGCATCAAACCCTCCAGCAAACTGTAAGAATATAAATGGTCACTATGTTACATCTAATATCTATACAGAAGGGATAACTGCACAATTAAGGCCATACTTGGTGAAGAACCTATAGAAAAGTTCTTAGCTTTATGAGTCTCAATCAGCTGTTTGGCCATGTCAAATATCCTTTTGTGGAAAAGTTTTTAGCTACTGGATTGCTATGTAATTTTACACATTCAATTTCTATTACCTGATGCACACGGAAAGCAAAACGAACGCCTTGTAGGATTAAAAACTCTCTGGGTGGTTCCTTATCACGCCCGCTCAACGCATCCAGTGTTAATGCTACACGTTTCATGTACGTACGAGCCAGCTGGACAGACGAGAGCTTAATCTGCAGAGGGAGAAATATGCATTCATTATCTCTGCTTTTGAGCCGGGGGTCTCTTAGAAACAGCCTCTCTACTTCCTATTAGGGGTAAGGTCTGCGTATAGACACCCTCCCCAGACCCTACTTTTGTGGGATTTACTATATTTGTTGCTGCAGATGACCAATAAAAGTGGAATGACCAAAACGGAAAAAATTGTCTGGTTTAAGTGCATGAGTACCTTTCCAAGCACACCAGAATCTAGCAACCAATCTGTGGGTATTCCAAAGTCTCTGTATCGTGATATAGTCATGTCCCTCGTGTGCAATAGTTCATAAACACTCTGTTCCACCCTGAAAGTTTCAATGAGTACAGATTCTCAACATTGAGCATAGAATTAATTAAACATAAAGAAGGCATCTTTGATGTTATTCACACTAAAAAGATTTCAGATATGAACACTCACTTCTCAAGTAGTTCATACATCTTTTTCAATGCAGCATCCCAAGAAAGACTTGGATCGTCAACAAACGAGGAAACTTGGTTCTCAAGTTTCATTAATTCCTGGTACTCGAATGCCGTTTCTCGCAATGCATCTGATTTCCCTTCTGGCCAATCAAAATGCTTGAGAACAGCTCGTTCATCAGCCTTGCAAGGAATAATACTAAATGCCATCAGGTAACAAGTCAAAAATACAGCAGTTATAATGTCATATTAATGGTTATGAAGTATAGAAAGGACGAAAAGGAACATAAGTCTACTATCGTCAATCTGTAAATGAAGGAATGAAAAAAAGAAGAGAAAAACAAAGTGGCAAATTAGGGGAAACTTTGTTTTTGTCCATGTAATATCCACAAAGCAGCTAAAGCTCCAGAAGACATACCAAGGAGGAGAGCTCTTCATCTAGCCAATTAACAAATGCCACCAAATCATCTGCTTTGGAAAACAAAGATGTACGAACTTCAGCTGCCAGTGACTGGACGAAATCAGCTTTTGTTCCCACATCAGACTTCACCTGATGATCAATACAAACCTTCTTTTGCTTAGAGTTGGATATAACAACAACAACAATAAATAATAAACGATAAACAAACTCAGTAGAATCCCGCAGTAGTATGGTCTAGAGAGAGTCCAAGAGAAAGACTGTTTCCAAGAGACCCCCAGTTCAAGAAAGCATAAATAGAGTAAAGTCAAGTAAAAACAAAGTAGAGTAAACACAGTAGCATGAACAAGGTGGGAGCACAGACCCAGGAAGTACGCAAACTGATACCAGCAACTAGACCCAATGCAGAGTTGGATAGAATAAAAATCACTTATAATTTGGTCATGTACAAAGTCCTACATACCGCTAAACGAAAGGATGATCCATGTTCCATTTCTCCATTGATGTTGCTCCTTGCATCTGACATGCTGGATGTGGAAGAAATCAAGGGTGGCGATGAATCCTTTTTCCACTCGCGTTTGATCACATTTTGGTAAAACTCAGCTAACTCGGGGGCTCTATGGACTTTATCTTTGCTTCTTCCCCATTTCTTCAACTTCTGAATCAAGCTAGGCTTTTTACTAGTTGAACTATCAACAGAGGTACTAGTGGTGGTAGCAGTAGCAGTAGTAGTATCAAAATCTTCACTTCCAGGAGAAGACGGGAATGAAAAGTTGGTTTCGTATTCTAATAACAGCTGCTTGGCTCTCTCCTGAGAATTTGGGCTCAAACTTTTGTTAAGGTCACAAGCTGATATTTTGCCAGTGGGTGTTTGATAGTTCCGAAGTTCATACTGTAAGCATGCATTCAACCAACGAAGATACACTAATTCTTCCACTTCATTGAATCTGTTCATCTGCAGTCCTTCAACTTGTTTCTGAAGATCCTCATTTTTATGCCTCAATGCTGCTACCTCTTCCTTAGTGCTAGAAACCACTTCACCCTGCAACTTGAAGAAACCTCAGGAGTTAGTTTGACTGCAAAGAGGAAAGAACTATTGCTTACCTAAAATTTTAAAAAACAGAATAATTAGTTGAATAATACTTCAGTAATGAGTTTGGTTGTTTTATACATCACAAAGGGCAGTGGAAGAAAAGTGCAAACAAATTAGTACTATATTGCCCATTTCATCGTAATTACACATATATAAAAACGTTAAATGAAAAATATGAAATTGATCTCAACTTATCTTATCTTGCCCAAATTACCCATGTTTATAAACTTTGAAGAATTACTCATTATAATAAATTAGTCTATTAAAATTTCCAAAATACTTTTTTTGGTCTTTCCCATGGTGCTAGTCGTGTTTCTTTATTGGGTGTGCATTTAATTTGACATTTTCATGTTTACCCCTACATCCATACACAACCATCCATAGAGAAATCAAATACTACTCCTACTGAGTTTCGAGCCCTACATAGGAAATTGTAAAGGTAATAAGGGAACTGCACACGAAAGGAACATAAAAACTTCATTCAAAGAAAAAACTATTACCTCTTTCATGTTGGGGAGGGATTTCATTTTGGCTTCAGCAGCATCTAGCTTCATCGCCAATTCTCTCTTCTCAATCTGAAGCTCTTTGTTCTTCCTCTTAAGCTCCATAACTTCCACCTCCAACTCCTTTAGAACTTTAACCATCTTCTCCATCTCAGCACCCCCTTTCAAGGCTTCTCGTTCCTCTGCTTGAAGTACACTAACTTGCTGCTTAAGCAACAATAACTGTTCTTTCGTTCGGTTCGCCTCAACCTGAATCTGCTTCTGCATCTCCTTTATTTTGTTCCTTGCCTCCTCTAACTCTTTTCTAGCAAAAGAGGACTTAGAAACCTCCTCTTGAAGCCTTTTCTTCTCATCCTGCAATCTGTTTATGGTAATATTGAGCACGTCAATCTCCACTGCCTTAACTTTGAGCTGTTTTTGTAACTCAAGAATGTTCGACTCTTGCTCCTTCAACCCATAGTATTCCAACAGTTCTGCTTCAAGTTTCACTTCTCTCTCCTCAAGCTCTTTTACAAGGTTTCTTAACTGTTCTATCTCATTTTGATCTTTCTTTGCATTTTCTGAATCATAAATATTACCAGGCAATGGAAAGTCCATCTCGCCACATAAAAGATGTTCGAATTGAAGAAAAAGGTCTTCTTCTATATTCAGTGGTTTCCTCAATGTGGGATTGCAAATTCCATTCATTAATTTAACCTCTTCTTCCTCTCCACCCTACAAAGCATAAAACATACATGGAAAGAAATTTCTGTTGTTTCATACGGAGTAAATCAAGAGGGAATTTAATGCTAATATTACAAATTGGCAATTTCATCTCAATTTTGAATTAAAGTATCAATTGTGGGCATTAATTAACAGTAGTTTAGGCAACAAAAACAGACCCAGAAAAATCCCACAAGTAAGGTATTGGGAGGATGCGTGTATGCAGACCTAACTCTTACTGAAAATGGAGAGGCTGGCAAACTACTACATATCACAATTTGGTGAAGGTCTTCTGGGAAACAGCATCTCTAAGTAGAGTTGCAGTCTAAACACATCTCCTTCCCTCATGCCCTATTCTTGAGTGAAATTTACTAGTTTGTTTGGTTTGGTTTGGTAAACCACTGCCATATGCAATGAGTTTCTTGATCTATGAACTTAATCCTTAAACAACAATAATATACTCCGTAATATGGAGTACATGGAAATACGCTGGAAAGGGAAAAAACAAGATTATTCACAACTTAGGTGATCCACAAAGAATCATGTCTAATTTTTTTAACTGAGTAGCACTTAAACAACAATAAAAACCTCTTTGAGGCCATTCTTAGAACATGTAATCTGCTTTTTCTCTTCCTCTTCATTCCAAGTGTTTGTTCCACTATTTCCTGCAGAATCCAATCAGAACAATGACATAAACAAATACAGACAAAGCTGAACCTATTAGAGAACATATAATCTCAGTTTCCAATGACATAGCATAGAGCACCTGATGAAGGCTTTGAATGTCTTTGGGTTTTGAGATTAAGCTGCTTGACTGCATAGACTGCAACTGAAGCAGCTACCAAGAACCCTAGCCTGGCAATCATGGCCATTTTCCCATTCTTTCTAACATAAAAATGATGGAAACAAAGAAACCCCAGATTCTCAGATTTCCCCAAGAATCCTATTTTATGACGCTAAGATGAACTTTTGACAAAAAAAAAACAAAGTTTTTTTCAAGCTAGGGAATTCTTTAATAATAACTCCGTAACATTTAATCAATCGCAGCTATGTCAATGGACTCAAATTTCGTTTTGTTTACACAGAATGGCTGATAAATAGAATGTCAACAGCTCAAAATGTCAAAGCCAAGAAACTAAGGGAGCCACCAATTTCTAGTGGACTGGGTTTGTCCAAGAAGGTTGAAGATGGTGGGTTTGTGAAGTCTTTGCTGGATTAGTTTAAGCCCAGAAGAATCAAGGGTGTAGAGGCGTTACTGAGACTGTACGGAGACTTTGAGCTTTGACTAATTGAGCATCAAATAAGTTTTTGGAGCTAATTCGAATTTATTTTTAAGGTCCATTTTGTACACAGTAATTGAATTTGAATTTGAAAACTAAGAAATTGAATTGGATAGAATTGAATTAAATTTTAAAATTTAAAATACAAGTTTTAATTTTAAATTTTAAATTTTAAGATATAAGTTTTAAGTTTTAAATTTTAAATATTACTTGTAGATTTTAAATTCTAAATTTAATTTTTAATATTTTTTAATTTTAAAAAATTAAATTTGAAATTTTAATGTAACATTTGTAATAAAGTACTAAATATGAAAAAATTCTCTGTTATGAAGGACTAGTTATAGAATTTACTCTAGAGTTATTTCTTTAATATGAAGAATGTGTGACAGATTTTTTTTTCAAAAAAAACTAGAAGATCCCCAAGCATTTGACATCAAATGTATATCAAGACCAATACAGACACCAATGTCTGTGTGTGTACAAACATTAAATGTCTGGAAATCAATATATTGCCCTTGGCGTATATTTGGTGTCAAAATCTTAGGACCCCCTAGCACTCCTTATTTTTTATCTCATAGTTCATTGTTCAAAAATCACAAGATTTTTTTTTATTTATACGCTTTCATCTATTATTTGGTAAAATAAAATATTTCTGTCACTTCATATTTTGAAAAGCTTTTGACGCCTTTTTTAAATACATAAATTTTATTTTTTTTCGATTCAAATACTTAAACAAAATGAAATGAAAAAACTAAAAATTTCATTTTACGTAATGTGACAAATATTTTGAGACGAAAGAAGTAATTTTAAAAATATTTTCTAAGAAAATTTATATTTTGGCATTTTCGCAGAGAGTAACATGTACTCCGTATAAATCATCACATGAACACAAGTTACACGACTAATTAAATAATGTAACAAAATCAGAAAACATGTTTAACGGAGATAGGGTAATAATTAAGTGCTTAATTTAATCATTCCAACAATAACAAAAAAAAGTGCGTATTATAACGTTGTCTTATGTAAGTTATGTTGTGACGAAGTTTAAACAGAAACCTAATTAATTGGATGGATGTGATTGTGAACATGCCAAAGATTTTTTTCCTCATTATGAAAAAGCAAAAGACAAAGTAAGAGTGCCAAAAAAGAACAAAAAGAAAAGGGAAAAAAACAGTTCACACCGCAAATTAGGCCAATATTTTTGGACTTCTTTGATCTTCTTCTTTACTCTTGTTTTCTGGCTTTGTGTTGGAGGGTAACCCCCACACCCACATTGGACTTAATTATCTCTTCCACAAATGATAGGCCACTAATTTGGTCACTTTTCAAAACAAAATTTTCTTTTTTTTTCTTGTAAAAATGTTAAATTATCAACTAATAATTGATATTTATAGGGGTGAAAAACAAATAAACACTATGCTTATTTTTCGTTTTTTTGCAAAAAAGAAAAAATTAATTGCTTATCACAATATCAATCATTCATTTACCACTCTCACCTGCAGATCCACAAAAAAACCGTGTGAACTTTAGATCAACCATTAAATCTGTGCCGTAAATAATATGATGAACACGGTCCGAAATGATAAGAAAAATTTCATAAAAGAAAGTCATTAGTTCAATTTTACAGCTAAAACACACCAACGTCAGAGCTTACCGTTAGTGTGTGAACCTAATGGTTTTTTCCAAAGTTTAAACTTTTTAATATTCTAACAAATAGTTGATTATTCATGACATGATTGGACTCATTGAATTACAAATAAATATCCCAAACAGTAACCACAAAAATTGTTGTCGTGTAATTGGATTTGGGCTACGAAAATTGAATCAAACCAAGTGGTGGCACATGCACTTGACAATGACCAAACCGGAAATTAAAGCATCTTCGATTCAATGACCGAAAAGAAGTTGGCACAAGTTTTATTTTGGGACAGTAAAGAAGTCTTTGAAACATCATTTTTTATACTTAACCAAAATAGGCAGGCAAAAACTGCCACTCTTCCCTTCCATTTCCCCTCCTCATTTCACTAAATCAGACATGAGAATCTTTCTATGCATCAAAGAGTCCACATCACACTGAAAATATTACCCCATTGTCAAGGTGGAATGTCTACCCCGGACGCCCCCCCTAACAGGATAGTAAATGAAGAAAAAAAAAGTTTTCACCCTGTTAACAAGGTGGAACGCTTACCCCGGGCGCCCCCACACATCAGTCTGACACGATAGTAAATAATGAAGAAAAAAAAGTTTTCACCCCGAGTTGTCAAGGTGGAACGCCTACCCCGGGCGCCCCCAACCCCGGTCCGACAAGATAATAAATGAAGAAAAAAAGTTTTCATCCCGTTATCAAGGTGGAACGCCTACCCCGGTGCCCCACATCTGGATCACACTAGATAGTAAATGAAGTAAAAAAAGGTGAAGTTGATTTAGTGAAGAAGTGTATATTGAACTTTAGACTAAGTACAATAAATATAGGAGAATAATAAAAATTTGTACATTATCTAGTCATCTTTTGAATAAAAGTAAACAAGTAGGAAATGATTATATGATGTTACCAAAGAAACAAAAAGTCTAAAAGGATTAGATGGATGAGTAATATTCAATTATGACTCTCGTGTTTATATAAACAAACAGAAATTAAGGTTAATTTTTTTTAGATATATAATAAAGTTAAAATGCCCAAATTAAGTTGTGATAAAATAGGTTTTTTTTTCAATTAAAGTCAGTCTTCAATCTTCATTACTCAGTCTTTGCTTTTCCACTTTACCCACCACTTGAGGTTTCACATTCACCAAAATTAATCTTTTGTAAGAACAAATATTTGAATTTGAAATAATGAGACTATTAAATAAGAGATAAAAACGTCTCCAAAATGGCATTTGGTGTCCATTAATTGCTAATTTAGGATTTAACAAAGAATTTAATAACACAAATAAATTGTACGTAATTAAATTGAGCTAAACCCTCAGTAAATAGAGACTAAACTCCGGACCTCCATGGCCGTCTGGGTTCATCATGTAGAAAGCTTCCGAGTCTTTGGACCCCACCACCCTCTCGAACATGGCCCGCATGTACGTCATCTCGCCGGCCGGCATGCCGCCGTCGCTTTCCTTCGCCGGCAACACGCCGGCGCCCATCGA